AAAGAGTGCAGACTCCGTATAAAAAAGTGTCTAGAGGAAAGTGCTAAATACGGGTGGTGCCACTGTAGCCACAGTCTAAATTTTAAAGAATTTTTTATATTTTTTTATTGCACAGACTTTCACCATAATCCTTTTTACAATAATTATTTTATTGCCTTAAAAATTTTTATTTTCAAAATCACTATCAACGTATTTTACGGCGATTTATCATACACCGTAGCTACTCGAGCGCTGTTGTGGAGAGTTTTTGAACTGTTATTTACTACTTACGGATGGTCACATTTTAAACTATTCTCCTATGGGAGATTGTCCTCCTTACCTCTATACTCCACAGATGGATGGCTACTTTTCCCTTTAAGTTTTTTTGTTGTTTTTTTGTTGTGAGAGACATCCTAGCCATAACGGAAACAAGAAAAAGTCTGTGGGTTAATTTATCTAACTTATGTATGGTTAACATTTACTATATCTCCATATATATATAAAAATCAATTGCTGTCCGATAGATTCGGTAAACTAGAAACTGACTTGATCGACCCTAATGATTTTTTTTCTGTGTTGCTGCTGGCGTTGTTGTCGAAATCTAGAAATAACCCGTGTGAAACACGGGAGGATGGCTAGTAAATAATAATGATAAAAAGTAATACTACGCAACTATTACTTAATATTCTATTCTATTCTATCCTTCTGAGTGGAGTGAGAAATATCACAAGTTTAACAAATGTAATATTTTCTATAATTAACATTTTCAATATTGTTTTTAAGGATAAATGTGAAAATAAGTTTACAGTCCACCTGATGAAAGTAGGTGATATAGTCCATACACATCTACATCTATTCTGGATTAGGAATCAAAATGCAGATGCGCTGTTACCTATGATAACTAAGATGGAATGCCTCGTTTCCAGTAAAAAGAGTCTCTACACTCACCATACAAAAACATCGGCATTATGATGCTATATTATGGTATTTTTTACACATAAGTACCTTTAATACCTTTAATTTAGTTAACGAGCGTCCAGCTCATCTGATAGGCACCGCTTGCCATAAAAAACTGCAACAATTGTATTATAATTATTATTAGGTATTCTGTGAGACCTAGTTCCTACCTCAGTCGAGCAAATCCATTGATGCTACAACTATGATATAGACTGCAACGTGGCCCTAACATGTATAGAATTTCCTACATATATATTGTCGACAATAACTTATCGATATTCTCGCACTTAGTCGTTTGTGCGAGACACATGTCGTTTTTATCGCTTATCCAGGACAACGCTTAAACAATATCGTTTTTGTGATCGGTTTAAATCATTGATACGCTGGCAATGCCTTCTAAAAATTTTGAATTTTAGCACAAGATATTTATTTTATTTTTTGTTCAATACTGTTGACACAAAACAAAACTCATAATTTTACGAATGCACGTTTAGAATCGCAAGTCAAAATATTTTCAAACCTCCTTTTCTGGTAAAGCTATAACATTATTTAATTAATTAATTAATTACAGTATATCAAACATAACACTCCCCCAAAGATTATTTTATATTTGTCTTAATTGTTACTCATGTAGTGGTATTAAAAAACCTGTAAGAGATTACGATATAGCGATAATTTCTGCAATTAGTATATAGAATAATTATTTTTGTAATGTGTGAATCCTAACAAACATTCTATTGACTATACACTAAAAAATTACTTGCTACAAAGCGACTAGAAGTTGTATGTATTATTTCTGTAAGCCCGTTGATGGAGGCAGCTAATATATAGAAGCAATCTAAATTTTCAAGGCGTTTTAAAGCAAATATTACAGTTTTTGGAGGCTGCTTGAAAAATTAGTTGAAATAGAACGGTAAATAAATAGCGTGAATAATTTTATTTCGTTGGCAGCGAACCCTCAAGAATTTATTCGAACGATGTTTATTATACTTAGGAAATATAATATTTTGTAGTCCGCAATAACCAGACAATCATGACTCATTTTCATATATTTATTATACAAGTTCTAGCAATATATAAGCTTGATCTACTCATCTGAGAAAAAAAGAAGGACGGCTTTCCTCTTTACTTCAAATGTACATTCAATTTACAAACACAATCTCTTTTAGTGATGATATAATGTTTGTTTATTTTTTATACATACAGGAAAACACAAAAGTATTACATTAAAATTTTACATCGTGAGCGGGTTTTCTCATTCTACTTTTATACAAAGACATTTAAGAAGTAGTAGATCGAACATCAGCAACAAAATTGTCGTCTGTAAATTTTGTTCTATAGGATATATCTCCGATTTTTGTCATTTACGCTTAGTGATATCGCAGCAGGCGCATTCATTTCTCAATACAATTAGATTAATTAATGAAGATCTTATTCGTATTTCTCATTGGTGTAATTCATTTGGGCTTAAAGTTAATCCATTGAAGACTCAAGCCATTATTATTGGGAGTTCGAAATTAATCTCTCGGTTAACTTTGTCGCTGCTCCCGCCAATCATATTCGATGGGACACTTATCCCATACAGTGACAAAGTTAAGAATTTAGGTATTATGTTCGATCAGACTTTGTCTTGGGGACCGCAAGTTAGTGAAATAAGTAAAAAAATGTTTGCCGCAGTTGGTTCACTTCGAAGATTACGCAATGTTCTCCCCATTCCTACTAAAGTTGCGCTGGCTCAGTCTCTTCTTTTACCGATCCTTGACTACGCGGACACTTGTTATCTTGACCTAACATACGAGCAACTTAATAAACTTGAGCGGCTTCAAAATTATTGCATAAGGTTTATATTTGGGTTACGAAAGTATGACCACATATCTGAATTCCGCCATAAGCTCAAGTGGCTCCCGATTCGTCTTCGCAGGAATACTCACATTTTTCATCTTCTTTACTGCATTCTGTTCAATCCGACCACTCCTTCTTATTTGAAAGACCGATTTATATATTTAAGTAGTTTACGATCTCAAAATAATCTCCTTCTAAGTACCCTTAGACATTCCTCTTCCTTCTATTCTAATTCTTTTACGGTTACCGCTATACGACTATGGAATTCTCTCCCCTTACATATCAAAAAATCTAAATCTCTTCCTATATTTAAAAATAAATTAAAACTTTATTACCTTTCCTCTTAAGTTACTACCTGTCGTCATTCATTTTTAATCATTTATGTTCTTCTATTTATCTTTCTTTATCATATTCTGTACACCCCTTCCGCTATCTTTTAAAATAGTATCCTCTGCCCTAAGGTTGCCTGTAAGAGATCGCTGTTTTAGCGATAAGGCCGCCTGTTGTACCAATGTCCCTTTAAATATATAAATAATGTAATATGTTCCTTGGTGTACAATAAAGTATATTTTACTTTACTTTACTTTAAATTTGAAAAATATTTTATTGGTATTGGTATTTTTATTGGTATTGTAAGTCACGATATGGAGCAAAAATGAACGTAATTTCAGTATATTATCGTAAGAATAATGTATATTTACCAAATAATCTTTAAATTTTATTATTTCTAGTAGATTGTTCTAGAACACTTATTATTATTATAATAAGCGCCCTCTGTTATCCAGTAACGTCCATAATTATTTACCAATGTGTTTAATGATTGATGACTATCTAAAAACGGATTTTCACCCTATATTTAATAGCAGTTAATAGTAATAGCTAATGGGAAAGAGCTAAGATGTTTTCCTAATAAATATTCAGCGTAGTATTGGTATGTTTCGCTAGAGGGCATAACACACGCGCGCGCTCACAGTTTTTGTATGCAAATATTCCCAATGTCCGCTCTATAGTATATATATACACTATCTTTACGACTTTATTTTTTAGCAGGTTAAAGGAAGAACAGTCTTTGAAACTGATATTTTACAATTTTTTATTTATTGTACATAAAAATTAATATGAAATTGATGTATCACTAAATACTACTAATTTGAAAAAATTTAGATGGAGTAAAATATTTTTTTTGTGAAATAGATAAATTTATAAATAAATATTAATTGATGATTATTTAAAAAAGTCATTGGTGAAAATCAAAAAAACATATCATGAAAATATATTTCATTCCTTGAATTTTGTTTGTCATATTCTATATACACTTTCAACCGATTCAATTAACAATTCTCAATAAAACACATATAAGTTTATACGTTGCGAGCTTGTTACAAGGCCATGTAGCCACTAATAATCTTATTACTCCAGGTTTGCTGTATCATGAAGTTTACTATCATCGTAATATTCATATCATTTAATTACCTTGAACGACGGTGGAGATTTGTTTATGATATTTTGGATTTATATAAAATATGTGTATGTTTTTAGTTACAAGAACAAAATAATTTTATATTTGTTTTAGAGATTATTTATTTATTTATAGAAAAAGAGTAACATAACAACACCCAATTCGCTTATTAGAAAGTACCAGACACCAAATTTTTTGAACTCTATTAGAAATCAATATGCAAAGTGACAGCTAACATCAATCCTCCATTATGTATCTATATATTATAGATTCGCTGACCCCCCGGAAAACCAATATAGAATGCCTATTTATTTGTAAATAAAGTCTTCAGTTTTCTACACTATTTATGCAAAATACTGCAGCATTAAGCTGCTATTTTACGCGTATATTCTGTAATAGTGCGGCCTTTTCTAGGTTGAACCGACTCATTAGAGCTGCAGTCATAAAACATCTGCAGCATGGATTTTCTACTGTAAAATATTTCTTAAGAATTTTCTTATAAATTTGTGAGAGCGGTAATTTCATGTAAAACGACACAATCTTAATGCAGCGGTACTACAGGTGCTGTGTGACTTTATGAATGTTTCGCGTCCTACTTATTTGAATGTTGTATTATTGTTTCAGATAACAATGTGGCCCTTTCATTTTACAATATGGACGAAATTTTTATTCAAAATGGCATGAACTACAGAAGACTATCATGTGTCCCGACCAGAGTTGGTTGGCGACTGTGGTACTACTCCTCATAATTCGCCATTGTGAGATGAGACATTCTGGAAACAACCAAATTGAAGATGTTTTTCAAGATAACCCAAGTGTTAGACATCATCACAGACACCGACACAAGCAAACTGAATCACCAGTCATATTTCCAATCTATACAGATAATTTTGTAGATAAATCTTTCGGATATGTTCCTCGCTACAATCCTGTTACCACTTTCAATGAAATATCTAATCTAGATAGAGACATATTGAATTATGATTTAACTGCATATGACAGTGAGAGAAAAAATGATTGGATAAATATGGCGAATGATCAAGTAGGTGAACTGAAAGATAAGAAACATCATCAACATTGGCCAATCAAGAGAGAAGCAGTCATTGAAGGCGATCTTGTTTTAGGAGGCTTAATGATGGTTCATGAAAGATCTGATAACTTGACGTGTGGACCAGTTATGCCTCAAGGTGGTGTTCAAGCATTAGAGACAATGCTATACACGCTTGATATTGTCAACAATAAATTAAAACTAATTCCTGGAGTTACTATAGGGGCTCATGTTCTAGATGACTGTGATAGAGACACTTATGGACTAGAGATGGCGGTAGATTTTATAAAAGGTATTTCATCTGTTTGTATAAATGTCTACTTTTTATATGCATGAAGTACTTTGGTTTCCTTTTACTAATTATTTTATTATAAAAATAACCAAAAGTAAATTGAACAAAAATAGTGGCCATAACGTGCGTATTTTAATTAACATATAACCTAATAAAACTCCTTTTAGGTTCCATAAGCAACATCGATGACGCAGAGTATGCCTGTAATGCTACAGCTGTGCGGAAAGTGATTTCAGGCGTAGTCGGGGCTGCGTCTAGTGTTACATCTGTACAAGTAGCTAATCTGCTACGTCTTTTTAAGATACCACAGGTAGTAATCATTATGTATACATTTTAACTCATTTATTAATCTTTAGATCCTATCAATATTCTACTGCTGATCATGGCCTATGTTTCCTCATGGAATACCTTATAGGTTTGATACTTACGCCATCGATACGTATGCTTGAAACTTATGCCAAACATAAGAGTAAGTACACTTATATATCTTCTGACTTACTAAAAAATGAAATTCCTATTATACTAGTATTATATATGACGTTACTTTACAAAATATGATGCACAAACTAATAAGAAGTGCTACATGACATCTTTATTCTGTAGTGATTACGTTCGCAATGTTGCAGTAATCGATATCAATAACGTTTTTGTTTTACATATTTTTACTACTTTATTATAATGTGTCTGAAAATATAAGGAAAATAGGGCTAGATTTATTATTATTCGAACAATCAAGTTAATTGTTTTCTTAATCAGGTGATGATTATCAAATTACATTGCAAATATTCATTTCACAAAAAGTGGGTTATCTTACTTCGTAATGAAATTTGACTCTACTTATTTATCACTGATAACCTTCCTTCCACTACATCAAGATTCCTTTTAAAGGTGTCGTTCTTTTCCACATCGCCGGAGCTTTCAAACAAGGCACGTTTTGAGTACTTCACCCGCACAATACCGTCGGACCTGCACCAGGTGAAGGCCATGGTTGAGATCGTTAAAAAACTAGGTTGGAGCTACGTCTCGATTATTTACGAGGAATCCAGCTATGGAATAAAGGTAAATATTTAATATTATAAGATAAAATTATATAATATTATTTTTAATTATCTTGTTAAAGTCATCTATCAAATTAATTACAACCTTTATTTATAGAATTAGGGTGACAAACGAGCACACAGTCCACCTGGTGGAAGTTGTGGCCCATAGACATCTACATTTTGATGAATGATGGAATGCCTCGTTTCCAGTAAAAAGGGTCTCCGATTCTTTACACTCACCATACGAAACAGCAGCTTTAAGCTACTATTTTACGCTGGTATACTGTGAGAGTGTGGTCTTTCCCCGGTCGAGCCGACCCATTCGTGCTATAACTATACTTCTAATAGTATAACTGCAGCACGATACAACACATCAGGTGGACTGTATGCTCTTTTGTCACCCTATCCTATAAAAAAATGAAGGGTAGCTGCTATAAGACTGAGCTCAAGTGAACCAAAATGGCAGCCATCCTCTTGTCTTGACAATGGTAGAGCCACGCAGCGGCATTGATGTCGCATGGATGGGCCAGCTTGAACCGGGGTGGTACCGTACGATCTCACAGAATACCTGCGTGAAGTAGTTTGTAAACCAACCTCTGCGTTTCACTTGGGCTGGAGGCCCAATTCCCCGTACCCCTTAACATCGTAGCGGAATTAAATAAAAACTACCTCAAGAGGGTACCCTCACTCCTGGTGACGGAGAATCCCTCGCTGAGCATCCACGACCAAGCTATTTTACTCTTCCTGTGCGTGGATGCTTAGGCTGCTCAACGTATTCTGGGGGAGGGCTGGAATTCTGCTCGCGACTAAAACTGCTAGGAGCAAGCGCAGCAATAAGACCAAGCCAACCCCTGTCACGCTATCCGTGAATTTTTGCATACATCAGGACATTTCATTCCAATCTTAATGCTGTCCATTATCACCCGGAGACGGCGAAGTCGGCCTTGCTATTTTTAACCGAGACTCAGATGTCCTCTCCGGCTTAACACTTCATATATCTCCTACCCGTGGTACAAATTAGAACACTCCTTTGCCCTCCTGGAGTTTGTTCTATTTTGCATTTAATAAAATATACTTTTTTTCATTTAAAAATGTATAATTCCATGGAAATTAATTTTTTATTCCAACTAGTTTTTTTTAGTATTAAGTTATTTTTTATAATAAACATGTTTTACATTACATATGTTGTATATTTTATCGATGCTTACATGCTCACTGGACAATCTATCATGAAGATTTTTAAATGATCTACAGACGCCTCCTACGTTCTTCATCTTTTTTGAATTGTCTAATTGTTGAAATTTATTAAAACAAACAGATATACTTTCATATTCGCATCGTACATTACTCTTATAGTTGTAGTATTGTATCTCGATTTTCAGGGACTTTTAAAAAGAAGTGGCAACACTTCTCTGACTCACACAAAGTTATAAAATTGGTTGCAGTTTCTTGTTCTAGGTGCGATATCTACCTTTTTTACTTCATCTGAGTTTCCAGTAAAAAAGCCTCCGGTTCTCTACACTCATTACACAAAACACAGCAGCGTTAAGCTGTGTATAATTTTAATAATAATAATAATGATGCCGCCGTGAACACGCCAGTTGTGGTTGATTCAGACGATGGTGGAACAGTCGCCCAGGAACTGGAACTAGAGCAAATGAGGAGTACATTGGAAGAGGCGATTGTGGAAACGCGCAGTACGCCTCTCGAAAATCGACCGCGACTTCCCCGCTTAGCCCTAAGCAAGCGGAATCGGGCTGTCGTGAGGGCTCTGAACCCAATGCTGGTTACCTATTTGGAAGCCAGCCTGGACCTTTGCGAGACGGACTCAATTCTTTTTGGCGCCGCACTGGCAGTCTGCCGTATTATAGGCACCAAACTTTCCACGGCTGGACGCGCTACTGGACAAAGTAGTGCTATCCCAGCCTGGAGAATAAGAATTGAAGAACGTATCAAAGGCTAGGGCCCTCATCGGTAGACTGATATGCTTCAGGTCAGGCAATACCAGGCCAATGATTGTGCGCACCGTCAGGATGGCGTTTGCTGGGACAAATGTTAGTTTGTCCCAGCCGGATATAATGCAAAAACTGACGGAGAGCATAGACGACCTAAAGCAAAGAATCGCTGCTTGGGGAAAGCGGATTCGGCGATATACCGAGAGGTCGACACGGTTCAACCAGAATCGTCTCTTCCAGAGTGATCAGAAGAGGCTCTATAAATCATTGGAGCGACCAATAGTAAGTGGAACGGGCCCAGCACCAAATCAGGCCGACACGGTCGCATTCTGGCGCAGCCTGTGGTCAGAGCCCGTAAACCACAACGAGGGCCCTTGGACGGAAGTTGTGGCGAGTCAGTGTGCGGGTATTACACCCATGGACCCCGTCATCATAACGCCGGATGACGTAGCTGAGGCGGTCCGTAGGGCCCCGAACTGGAAAAGTCCGGGGCTTGACGGGCTGCATCACTACTGGCTGAAGGGTTCATGGTGTGTCACGCTGTGCTCGCCCGACAGTTTCAAGAGGCTCTCAACCAGAAGTCGCTCCCAAGCCTCTTCACTACTAGGATCACTCATTTGGTTCCTAAAAATCAGGATGCCACAGACCCGAGCAAATACCGCCCCATCACGTGTCTACCGACCATATACAAGAAACTAACATCCATTTTGAGCGCGAGAATCGCTCGTCACCTGGACTCTAATCAGGTGATGTCGCGCGCTCAAAATGGATGTCGGGGCGGCGGTCGGGGAACCAAGGAACCACTCCTCATTGACACGGTCATTGGCAAAGTGGTGAAACGCAACCGTCGGAACTTCTCCGCCGCCTGGATAGATTACAAAATTAAACTGGATAGATTACAAAGTTAAAATTTACTTTAACACACATAGTAGATTAATATAATATAATTTTTTAATACAGTAGTTTTGAATAATTTTATAAGTTAGTTATTTTATGTGGTCAATTTTACTAAATTATTTATTTATGCGTAGGTATTAAGTGAATATTATTTATTTGATGTGTGTGTGTGTGTGTGTGTGTGTGTGCGTGTGCGTGTGTGTGTGTGTGTGTGTGTGTGCGTGCGTGCGTGCGTGCGTGCGTGCGTGTGTGTGTGTGTGTGTGTGTGTGTGTGTGTGTGTGTGTGTGTGTGTGTATTTGTGTGATAGATACTCGCATGTAAGTGTGTGTGTAAGTTAGTTAATAAATGTGTGAGTCATTTATGATTTATTTACTTAACTATTATAATTTTGTGGGATAACTAAAAGGTTCAGATGTTATGACTTTTAGTATCGCTCGTTAGGCTCTTTCCAGATTTAGCAAATAGGTCTTACAAGCTCCACCCCATGATATGATACAGTACGTTATTATTGACTCAACTAAGGTGCTAAAAACCGTTTTTAAATGTAGTAGTATCAGCCACGTATCGTAGTTTTTTGAACACCAAGATTAAATTTCGTGTTTTCTCTTATATATTTTATATGTGGATTCCAAGTAAGATTTTCATCTAAGAAAACTCCAAGATAACGTATGATTTTAGTTCTGTTAAGTATATTACATTGACAAGAATGCCCTTTTAGACAGGAATGCATTTTAGTTTCGAAAAGTTTTTTTTAAGATTTTTTTTTCAAAAATTTCGATAGTTTCCGCTGAATGATTGTAAATAGCATATATTTATTTTTGTAAATATTATGTGTAAGCATGTTTTGATTGAGCCAATTACTATATAATACGACAAAGTCCAAGTTCGGTATTAGTTTTGACCTCAGTCCCAGTTATACCATGAATAATTATTGAGGTGTCGTCTGCAAAAGTAAATAATTTGCCATTTGTTACTTTTTATTCACGAAGATCATTTATATAAATTAAAAATAACGTGAGACCAAGTACACTCCTTTATGGAACACCAAATGTGACAGGAGAGTCACCACTGAATTTCCCGTCAATTGTTACTTTCTGTGTTCTGTTTGACAAATAACTTTTAAATAAGTCCAGTACTTTTCCTCTAATGCCAATTTTTTCTATTTTATTGAGTAATAGCGGAACATTTTGTGAGAGCGTGGTCCTTAGGTAGGTAATAATTCCCAATAACGACTAAAAATGCGGTTGTCGACCTGGTCGAAAAGCGTGGCAACTATTGCAAAATTTTCCTTGGTGAGGCAGTCTATAGTGGAGGCCTATATTCAACAGCTAAACTTAATAGTCTGTTATATGGCAGTAGGTATTTGTTGGCAAAAACAAAAAGTTCGTTTGTCTCGGTTATGTAAAGTGTAAAAACTTTACATCCATAATCATGTTTATGTAAAGTCAAATACTGACTGTTTAACTCCCACTGTTCGCTTTAAATGGTACTCGTATTTGCACAACAAAGCACTTCATGCGTCATGTTTGCATAACTGCTTCAATTATATAGGCAGTCAACTGCAGACAGATTGTCGAGACCGTAGCTCAAATCGATAATATGCATCAGGCGGGCATTATTATAACATTTTAACATCTTTAAGAAATTAGATTTCCGCAAAGTAATGCCTGATTCTATTAGTTTTATTACAACACTAGAAAATTCATGTTCAAATATTTATTATACATAAGGTGTTGGTATTTTTTGCTCTGAGTTTATAAAGGACTTCGATAGTTATAGGATAATTATTACTTAGTTATTTTTAGTGTTTTTACATATGAACATTTATATTTTGACCTTTGTAAACGATTGAGTGACATTGTTTTTAGTATAATTAATCATTTGACATTTATTTTATCATCAATTGGACATTTTTAATAAGTTAAATTCATAAATAATTGAAAAAAAAAATATGTTATATCTATTTAGTCAAAATTCGCACGCCTCGATAAGGCAGAATGTATAGGAACTTTTATGTTTTAGCATTTAAATTTTTTTTGGTATCTTTGTGTGGGTCTCTCAACGATTTAGATTCACAATTAGATCCGATAGGTAACGCTGTAGTTAGGATCCAGCAAACACCCGTTAGAAACCGCTGCACATCGCAAATTTATAATATTACGTGTTTTAAAACTTAACCAACCCTTTTGGGTATATTCGTGTCAAATAAAGTTTTTATTTATATTACATTTTACATTAACACAAACAATTAATTAATTAAAAAATATTTTAAAAATAAGTAATAAAAAATACATACATAATTGGGTCATTACGGTGATACTGTTTCATGAAAATTATTGTTTAAAAATGTCTGATAATTAGGTGTAGTTTACAAAAATATTTCTGTATTGTTATCTAACGAAAGCTAACAGTTTTGAAAACATTATTACGACAAAAAAATAAATATCCAATTTTCTTCTTATAAAGCAAATTCACTGTGACACCGTAAATTACCTTTTCATTTTTGACGTAATATAATCGGAACCCCGTGGAAAATTCCCGTAACAGACGTTGAGTTAATTTTAAGCGCAATCTCATTTATTTCGAAAATTTTATATCATCAACATTCAACCGTGTTTTCACTAAGTACGCTTACTTCTTTAAGGTTGGGAAGAATAAGGTACGAGATAGTTTGGTATATTTATACGATTAAGCATACATAAATTGTAATGGTCAATACAATATTTGTTATGAAAAATTGATGAAGAGTTGGGGTGAATATTGTAAATATTGAGAACGTTTGGTAATAAAAGTATAAATGAGAATGGTGAAAACTTTCTTACTCTTAAAAAAATATTTTTGCAAAGAAAACTTTCTTTCGTCATAAGGAGATTGATATATATATACATGGGAAAGAGGAGATGACACAGGCATGATAGATTTCATTACGGTGAATGAAAGAATTAGGAGTGATAGATACAAAGGTTTACCGGGACCCTAACGAAGGGACGGATCATTACTTGGTCGTATGCCTAATAAGTGGTCTGTCCAGACGTTGGTGACATTGGACATCTGTATCTATCGCTGCATTTCAGCGTTATGTCCCATTTAAATCTTAGATATAATTGACTGCCTTGTTAGTCTATAAGATCTAAGTGCGACTACTAATAATGTGGTCCTTGGGACGAATCCCAAATTCATGTGGAGCTAAAATTAGTATTTAGTTTTTTCTATCAAAAAGTGCTCAGTCATATCTATGCCCTGCGCCTGATCTTACTCCTTTAGTGTTCGACTACCGTTCCATCAGACTAAAGTAGACTGAGAGTGAGGGAAAAGGTAGTGCACTCGTGCTGGTTTCCGTTAAACGGTTCTATATATATATATATATATATATATATATATATATATATATATATATATATATATATATATATATATATATATATATATATATATGTATATATATATATATATATAACGCAGATTGTTTGACTTTTTGCGATTGAGCCCTAAGTGTTTTGTGCATTGAGAAAGTGTTTCTGACAGTATTCTTCCTTTTTCCTAGTTATTGCGTAACTGATACATCGAACATAGGTGGGTTAGGACAAGTAAGTGTCTTTATGATCAACACGCACTGAAAAGGTAAGCTGATAAGCTGATAACGTCAGGAAGTCATGCGTTGCTAATAATATTGAGCAGATAAGTATGGGATGATTTCGGTAGAAATGGAAAAGGTGACATTGACAAACTTTCTAAGTTAACTCAATATCTTCGTAGCTTTTCAATACCTCCTTGTGTTTAAAATATATAGTGAAAATATTCCAATGGTTATCCTCTAATATGGCGGTGAAAATTTTGAAAGATTTGACACATCTGACGTTACTTACATGTGCAAATACTTTGCAGGCATTTGAAGAACTCGAAGCACTTTTAGCACGCCAAGGAATTTGTATAGCTGTAAAGGAAAAACTGGCAAAAGATTCAGGAGTTGCAACTGAGATGGCTTACGATAGCATTGTTCAAAAACTACTAACAAAGCCTAGGGCTAGAGGTAAGTTCTTATTATTATGCACCCATTTTAGTCTGATTACTATATATATATATATATATATATATATATATATATATATAATTTACTTTTTTTTAAAGTAAAGTAAAGTTACAGCCTATATACGTTCCACTGCTGGGCACAGGCCTCCTCTCATTTCTGAGAGGGTTTTAGGGCAAGGAAATGTCCGCCGCGCTACCCCAGTGCGTGTTGGCGAACTTCACATGTCTTCGAAATATTTTATGTTATTTCTCAGACATGCAGGTTCCCTCGCGATGTTTTCCTTCACCGGCGAGCACGTGGTAAATCAGTACTTAAAATTGCAGGTAACAATTTCATTGGTTCCGGCGGGGATCGAACCCGTATTTGCCATAGTTGTCACGCTGGGCTGGCGAGTTGTGAACCACAGTACTTTTTAGCAGCTGTTATTATAAAAACGCAGCTGCCCATCTTCTGGTTCCGTTTCCCTCTCTCTCCTCTTTCAATACCCATAAGACGGTATGGGGATACTGACTGACTGGATATTCTTATGCCGCAACAATTAGCGATCATACTAAGTGGTGTATTTTTTTTCCAATTAATTTCATTTAAGTTTGTAATATGCTAATAATATGAGCGTCAATCTTTCGCTTTTCGTTAATATAGTAAGTGAAAGTGAATTACATTTTGTTTACACAGAAATTTTGACCCCGAAATTACTTTGTCGAACAAAATTATATTATTCATTTAATTATAATAATACTGATCTAATCTAATTAGTAGAATTTTCTTACAAATTTAATTACGTGAGGCTATATTAAGTTATTAATAATTTATTGTCTGCGTTATATGTGTGTGTGTGTATCTGGTGGGGGCGATTCATCACTCTATTTCTTCTACTATCCCTTTGTGTCATAAGAGCAACTATAGGAAATGCCAGAAAATTTTTATGGCTTTCTTTACATGGCGGTAAAACCATCTCGTTTACGCCAGATAGAAAATACTCTGATCAGTGTCAAGCAGACGCGTCAAAAGTTTTTATATATAGTATAAGAGCGACAAATAAACACTGATGGTAAGCGTATATGTAGTGAGAAACGGTTTTCTGTGAGAGCGCCTTTCTCCGGTCGAGCCGACTCACTTGTGCTACAACCATGATATTTCTGCAGCGTGGCTATGCTACGTCTGGAACTACGATTGCCAAGCATGTAAGAAGATAAATCTCTGATCTTAGGTTTGATAATAGTTTTAATCGTAGGTAAATACATAATTTATAGGTTAAATAAGGAAAATAAACAATTTAAAATATGTAACGTAACCCTGAAATGATCTGTATATTTTTAGATTCAATCTTTCGAATTTTTGTAGCAACGGGAGAGGTAGGTCCAGCAGTGGACTGATAACTAATGCAATCACAAAGATTAAACGTGATTGCGTAGTATTATTTTTCATTTAACACGTTTTTATGTTTAATAATCGAAGAGCATAACGGTACACTAAACCAAGGTCTTATACCAATAATTCATCAAAATGTGTTCAACGCTGTGTCACTAAATGGCAATCACTGGTTATAGACGAGGATACGAATTCAATTTGTGCAATCACTTTAGCGAAAAATTGTTTCTTGTGACACATCTGGCTACACGGCCACTGGCTGTACAAGCGATGCGTTAACTCGGAGTGCGATAGGTCTGATGGCACTTTCCTTTGCCAGCTATATAAAATTAAACATTAAAGTAACAAATAACCTTTTGAGCATAATTCATGATAACAACGTTTTTGTATTTATATTCAACCAAAATTGATCAAAGACCTGCAATATTTGAAATGTTATTTAAGCGTCTAAGAAATAAATATTAATAAGTACAATGATAATAAACAATAAGTTTTCAAGAAATCAGACTACAGTGAGTCTCTGAATTTGTATTTACATATCAGAAAATTCAAGCTATTATTTATTAAAGAAAGAAGAACAAATAACATCTACTCGTTGCTACAACATTAAATTTTAATATTTACTGATAATTGATTTTATAACAGGAGCAATAATCTTTGGCTCTGATCAAGAAGTTGCTGGTGTAATGAGAGCTGTAGAACGAGTGAATGCAACAAGTTCATTCAGCTGGATAGGATCTGATGGCTGGAGTGCAAGAGCCTTGGTATCTGATGGGAATGAACGAGCCGTTGAAGGTACCATTAGTGTACAACCACAGGCAAATGACGTTAAAGGATTCAAAGAATATTTTCTTGGACTAAATGTGAAAAACAACAAAAGGAATCCTTGGTTTACAGGTGAGATCAATTTATATAAAGTTTTTTACCGATCTAAGGTTTGATAATATTTTTAATTGTAGATAAATACATAATTTATGGGCCAGATAAGGAAAAAAAAAAACAATTTAAAATATATAATGTAACCCCGAAATAATCTGTATGTTTTTATATTGAATCTTGCGAATTTTTTGTACCTTGAATAAAATTGAAAATACTTTATAAAATATATTATTTTGTCAGTGTTAAGAGAGAATCCATCACACCTTTTTTTTGTGGACTTCATATGAGTAAACTATGGGAAATAATCCGATATTTCGTACGTGGTAGAGCCACGCTGCAGCTATATCAGTAATATAGTTGATGCACGAATGGATTGGCTCGACTGGGGTAAGACTACGCTCTCACATAATACTAACGTAAAATTGCGGCTTAAGGCTGCTGTGTTTTGTATGGTGAGTGTAGAGAATTGGAGACCCTTTTTATTGGAAATAATGCATTCCATATTAATCCTCATGGGTAACAACACATATGTATTATGATTCATATGATTAATCGAAGATAAATGTAGATTCCTATGGGCCATGGCATCATTTTACCATCAAGTGGACTGTGTGCTTGTTAGTTAACCTTAATCTATAAAAAAATTGGCGATATATCTATTTTGTTTACACCAGACGTAAAATTCTTGGTCCAACCACGGGGACAGTTACAAAGTTGCAAGATGTCTGAAAATGCAATCATAAATTTTAATGCCATGTAAAAAGTCCGAAGTTCAAAAGTGAACAGTACAAGTGGTTTTGCAGACTGATGACGATGAACAAAAAGAAATGGGAAAATTTATCGATATTTTGTCAAATATTTGTTGTTTTATTTGCTAAAATACTTTAAATCATATTATCATCATCAGAATACCACTCATCATAATAAAGCTGAAAATAGATCTCCCTTAGAAACTTAGAAAGCACCGTTTGATCGACATAAATACAAGAAACAATAATATATTCACAACCACGATATAGTATTTGTTATTTTACTGCAAGATAAAGGTACCTTTCTAAATGCGTGCTTTAAAATATTAGTTCGTGATTTTTCCACTAATAACAAAACCTTACATTACAAATTTGTAGGATTTTTGTTGGACATTCAAAATGGAATTGCATTTTTTCATTTGTCTGCCGTCAGAGTTGCTAGCTTTATTTTGAACAGTGCATTTTAAATTAAAAAATAAAACTTTACGTGAAAGCTAATTGTGGATTTCTACAGGTCGATAAATAAGAATAATTATGTTCAAATGAAGTTAGAGGTGGAAATTGTTGAAAAAATTGTTACATGCACCGTATCCTATTATGTCTTTTATCATTATTCATTTACGATTTCAGTCCAATAAGAAATCTGAATTAAATTGACAATTGCAGTAATAGTTTTAACGATTGCATTGATGGATATAAATCATATCCATATGATATGATAATTTTAATAGTAGACAAGCGATCTAACAAGACTCATGATTGAAAGAAGCTACTGTGTTGGATATCTGCAATCAAGTTTTGACCATCGTTGAGAACTAAGATAAAATATCACTGCAGAAAACAAATACACTACAATTAGCTTTGATTTGTTTCATAGGCAAAAATATTGATAAATAATAACATGTATAACTTCTTTAGAGTTCTGGGAAGACCACTTCCAGTGCCGCTACCCAGGAGGTCCTCGCACTCCCTATAACGGACAGTATGGAAGAAATTGTTCCGGAACGGAACGACTCACTGTCGATAACACTGAATTCGAAAGGCAGCTGCAATTTGTCTCCGATGCTGTTTTAGCATTTACTTATGCTATCCGGTATCTTGTTTCTAATATTTCTCATTTATATAATTTATAACACGGTTAGATATGACTAGGGCAATACAAAAATTGGTTTAAGAGAAAGTTTGTTGCGATCTTTTATATTAAACTTGTAACTTTGCAAGTTTATATCAAACTGAATTATATGTAAATAGAATAAAAAATAAAAAGGCAATTTCTGGGCCCGTTTTAAATACTATTACGTAAAATGTATAAATGATAATTACAACTTAGTTATAAATTTCAATATCAAAGAACGTAAAATATTCTATTATATCAATTATTGAGCGATGTAATATAGATTTTCATAGCTACGACTTAAGGAACTGCTGTGGTGCTTGGCACCCTTTCATATTTCAACTTTTCTATCAGCTAAGTTGAAAAGCTCGAACGTCATTTACACCGAACTTAGTCCCTTTTCACATTTGTTTTGGTAAGATATTAAATTTCTCGAATGAGCCGTATTTTACCAAATAAGCCTGCGGAATAATTTTATCAAATTTATAAAGCGACTCTGGTCAAGTATACCGGAACCATCATCGATTTATACACTCATAAGAAAGTTTATTAATAAATCTTAATATGTAGCAATCTTAATAAGGTGATCTGAGGCATTTAAATTGTCTGAAATATTTTAAGAGAAAATAAACCAGCAGTATTTTATGGCTCATCCATGTTACAAAATCTATAATTAAAATGTGTTTATGAAAAAATAATATAGATATAGCTCTAATTTAGTGTAATTATCGTGTAATTACTCACTTATTAATTTTTTTATTAGTATCTATTTTTGTTTAGCCTTAATTTTTAGTCATGAGATAAAAGTTAATAAAAAAGTTAATAATAAGTTATATTAATATATTCTTATTAACTTCTGTAATTGGAAATGTTTTTATAAATAAATTAATTCAATGGTTTCACTTAAATATTCAGTCAGGATACAATTTCATCAGACTTCATCGTCCCAAGTTGACGCCTGATAACTCAGATATTTCATACTGATTATTCAGTAATCAGATAAAAGTTATCCAACAACTCGTGTAACAAAAGTGTAACAGTTTACTATATTAGTCGTATAACTACAAAATTAAATTTGTTTGTTTCATTTTGTCCTTTGAATAGCTTTTTTTATCAACCCTAAATACATATTTAATATATACATTTTTTACGATTCTAAATTCAAAACATTGTGTCTTTTACTATACCTGTATTTAAATCAATTTTTTTTTTGGAATATTAAGGCTATGAATTTATTAATATTGTTTAAACTTGACATGAATAACTAAAATTAAATCAAAATTATGGAAATTCTGGTTCATATATAATTTAAAATATTTATGACGATTTAAGTTTTTTTATTAATTAAATTGTTCAAAATATTTTTAAAGTGGGTGCTTGCGTAGCTTGTCTGAATTTATTTTATGTTAATTTCATACGTTTTTAATCTTTGCTCTGAATTATAATGCACTTTTTGAGTATTTTTTAAATAAACGTTGCCTTGAAATAAAAAAGCATACATGTTGAATACAAATTTTTTATGAAACTTAAGTGACAAACAAATTTACAGTTCACCTGTTGGTAAATGAACAAGTTGCTTGGACAGAGATTTGAGTAGGCTATAGATGCATTATAAACTCTGGAGACTAACGTGGAATGCCTCACAGCCCGTAATTATATCAGCTTTATGCACTGCTGCTTGGAGACAAAAATAGATAAAATAGTGGTGATAGCTTGAAAAGTCCTATGAATTATGAGCTTATATTTTAGCAGTGGAAATATTAAAAAAATCTTATGATTTTATAAAAAGTCACTGTTATTTATTAATTTTTCCCGTAAAGATAGATTCCACATAAAAATTTCGCATATTCATAATATTTTTAGTGACATGCACGCTTCGGCCTGCGGTGGTAGATCAGGACTATGCGATGCAATGCGACCAGCTAGTGGTTCGGAGTTATTGGGATATTTAAGAAAAGTAAATTTTACAGGTGAGTTATCTGTTTAGTATTTAATAGCAAGTATTTAAACTTTTTATGTCGTCATTTCCTCGCTTCTAAGCATAATAAAATTTAACAAGCAATTTAACATCATATTGGGACTAAAGAATACACTAGTTTGGATTTTTCAAAACAAATGTAAACATCCCGTGGTGTGACTGCTCTATGCCTGATGTGCGATTCACATAGTTCGCAGTACATAAATCATTCCTCTACCTGGACATTCACAAGTCGAGTAGACCTAACAAAATTCCCCCAATTGTGCTGAGGACGTGAGCTTCAGTGTTGGCACCGGTTATAACGTGTCTTTTTTGGTACTCCTACTTGTTATCTTATGACGTATCAAATGACGTGTAGTTTCGTGGTAATTACAAGAGAAGATCAAACTGGCCTCTAAAAAGCATGGCGTACACGGCAGAGCTGGACATTTTTTCATTATGACATACCGCCTGCAACTTTACAAGGCACAGGTTCAGCCTCACATGGAATACTATTGCCCTGTCTGGGCCGGAGCTCCTCAGTGCCAGCTCCTTCCATTTGACCGCATCCAATGCAGAACAGCTCGATTTAAATAATATATTAGGGAACTTAATTCATTAGCAGAATTCAAAAAAAATTATCGCAAACGCATATTTTTGACTTATTAAATTAAAGCTTAGCAGGATATCTGGGGTGGAAAATTTTGAAAAACTGGTTTTTAGGGAACTATTACTAAACAGCACGTCATGCATGGAGCACTCACACCACGGGATGGTTCCCCCCGTCATCAAGAGTATAGTTGGAGGCAAAGAGAGAGAGAGCCCAGCAGACCGACTTTCTCCTTTATAGCATGGGCTAGTGAGTCATCTTCCCTGAGCAGAGATGAGAGAGATAGTTGACAGAAGTTCATTTGGACCAGAGAGACCAGTATGCACATGTTCCCGAAGGAAATCGAACTAGTTCTTGTTAATTCTGTTGATGTGCTCTACAAAGTTAGACCTTGGCAATAACACTTTTGAAGGACCTGGAGGCGGAATTGTTCTTCTTTTTAAGAGTACTTGTATTTGCATTCCGATACGTCAGTGCGTCAGTTGCGAGTCAGTAGCATTGCTGCTTATGGTTTGATGCAATTTTGCAGGAGTAATTAACCATGGTTGGGTTCTACCTCCGATAGGTACCATGGATGATGAAATAAAAAGTTACATTCCCTGTAGCACCACATCAGCGTCAAAATTGGAAACAACGCTGGAATCATCCGGCGAGAAGTAAATTCGCCCCCAAGGGTAGGATACAAAAAAAAAAGATCGCATCCCGTCCCATTCGGCTGACCTATAGTGCAAAAAACGGCGGCAACCTGTAGAGCGCAATTGCGACGGGAGCTTGAATGGCACCATACTTCGGATCAGACAATGATCTGAAGAGCCACGAGGGGCACCGACGGAGATCTGATATCCGTCCGGATGAGAGGGTCAGCAGAAGGTCCGACAAGGAAGGTGCATGATCTTCTACATATTGTTATTGAGCAGGTTTATTATCAACCGGAATTTCGACTCCCGTTACCCCTCCTAGAATACGTGAGGCAGCTTGAGCACTCACGCCTAGGAAGATTAGGGTAGCTTGGGCGTGGATGCTCCGTCACGTGGGATCCTCCGTCACCAGGGATGATGGTACCCTCCTGGTGTAGTATTCTATTTAACTCCGCTACCATGTTAACGGAGAGGGGTGAATTGGCCTTCCGGCCACCTGCACCCTCTAAACGAAATTCAGAAGCCGCGCTTCTACTTCACGCTGGTTTTTATGTGAGTTCGTCGTACCACCCCGGTTTGAGTCGGCCTATACGTCCAACAGCATAAGTTGCCGTGTGGCTTTACCACTGCTAAAATGTGACATGTTCTTATGTTTAAATTTACGTTGTCGGTGACTTTCATTAGCTTTCATTCGTGTACTCACTTTTAAAATTGTAGCATATCTTAATACTAATGTTTTTTTTTTTTTTTGCAAATTAATATGAAATTATTATCTTAAGGTATAAGCGGAGATGAGTTCCATTTTGACGTGAACGGTGACGGCCCTGCTCGATACAATATCTTGCACTTTAAACAAGTGTCCCGGGGCGTTTACCGCTGGTTGAAAGTGGGACAATACCGTGATGGAGTTTTGCAACTTAACATTGACGGTAATTTATGAGATAATGTTATGAAATTTATTTATATTATATTCGTTGACGCCTCCTCTCTGTTTGTATACTATGTATTCATGAATTGACGGACCGAATCTCACGAGTTTTAACCTTCCGGGGGAAAAATAATATTTTTACTGGTATCCCAACCTATATGAACTCCCACTGGCAACACTATATACCTCATGTCATTGTGAATTTTTCGTGCCGAATCAGCGAGTCGCATCTTAAAATTAAAAAGTTTAAATTGGTTTTTAAGTGAAAGTTATTAATTTTATTATTAGCAACATGTGAAAACTTATTTGCTTAACACTCATAAACGATTTGGACGATTAAAATGTATGTAATTTTTGGATTTAACAACTTGTAGGGTAGATTAACTATAAAAAGATCAAAGGATCTTCATAAATCTAAAACAAACATTCAGAAACCATTAAAATATTGGGACCTGTCTCCATCAGTAACAACTCACTAGACATGCAATAACCTCCAGCAGTTGCTTTATACCAGCAGAGGTGATACTATCAAGTAATATTGTAGCAGGCGCCAAGTCCAACTATCAAGGAAAAAGAATAGAGGTAAACACAGCTATAGAGGTAAGCAAATTCAGTTGACCTTATTTTATTCCAAATGGTCTAAAATACCATTAAAAAAACTTTCTCATAGTAGGTCTACTACAATACATTAGTGTGAGTCAAGGATATCCTCTCACATTATATTGAGTTTAGTATGTCAGAAAATATTGTATTTAACACAGCTGTAAAATTAATTAAAACAAGACTAGTGATAATTTTGTTTTTACTTATTGGTAAATACCATGATATGACATATACCAAGATGAAGATATTCAGAAAAGGAAAACTGGAAAGTTCTAGAATTGCTGTTAATTGGATTATAAAGTTAATTAAAAAAAATCAATACTTTAAAAGTACATTTAAATAACTTGACCTTAACACATAAAATTATAGCATTTTCATACCTGAAGTTAAACACAAATATTTCACATGAATGATATGTCAATTATTAAATTACAATCCACTACAATCATATAGGAAATTTGCTAATTTAATAGACAAATTAATAATATATAAATCAATAAATAAATCTGTTTGTCCAGCTATCTTTTATAGATAAATGTATACAAATATATATATATATATATATATATATATATATATATAAAGAGAATAATCTTGAATCTAAATTAAACCTTTTTCAGGTATCATATTCAAATTTCAAGTCATCCAATTAAAGGGGGTGCTTACAAAATGAAAATCCTCTCAGTACATAATGATTGTGATATTGTTTTTTGGTACAAAAACTACATATTCTTAGTAAGACATTACACATTGAACATATTTTAGTTTTTACTTTTGATCACAACGTTTTGTTATAATCCCCATATCCAAAATTTCTTATAAGACTACAGCTATATCATATATAAACCACATGGGTGGCATATAATAACCACATCAAGTGACATAGCTTGTAAAATTGATCTTGTGAAATATATGTATTTCTTTTTTGCCTTATAAATAACATCTTAAGGTAATTCTCCCGTACGCAAAGAATCCAGGAAAACTAATGGTGAAATAAAATGGGAATCATATTCCTAAACCTATAAAAAGATTTTCTATAAGATTTTATCCAAAAGTGGTAGATAAACTTAAGTTCATGCATTCATGGGTTAACCCTAAGTTTAATGTACTATTCTCCACAATTTTTAAACGGAATGCAGAAAAAGGAATAAACTTCCAGTCTTTTTAAGCCTGTTACTAAATTATTGTTAAACAAAACGACTTATTAAAATTCTTACCCTGGTCAACAACTAATATGTAAGATATTCTTTGATCTAACTTATCTTGCTGTGGCAGTGCTGTCAAAGAGGTATTTCTGTATTTAAAGCATACAAATAAGCCCCTGTCTGTATATACAATATGTCTATTGTCTAAAGTCGTCGTAGATAAAGTAGGAAATTTACTTATTGTTCTTCTTATTATGATTTGGGCTCATACTCTGAAGTTAAACAGTTCTTTTCTGGTATTTATAGGAAGAAAAATGAAAACTAGAATACAATCAAAGCTGAGTCAAACTTAATTTGGTTAACAAAGCCGAATTTCATGAAAAATAAAAAGCAAAGAAATATACAGTAGTAAGAGAAAATATAAGTATTTTAACCGACTTCAAGAAGGAGAAGGTGTTCAGTTCGACTGTATGTTATTTGCCTCATAGCTTTTCTCTGGGTGAGCCGATTTTGATAAGTCTTTTTTTAATTTGAAAGCTGGTGATTCAAGTGTGATCTCATGTAGATTTTATCGGGATCTGACTAGTGGTTTTTGAGTTGTCCTTAATGCGTATTTGATTAACTTTGAATACATTGAAGATCTTCTCATTTTATTTATATTGAAGTCGGTTGTGCAATGTTTTTAATTTTGCCACTTGTATCAGTTACCTCACGATATCACTTGTATGTCACTAAAACTGCATGAAATTTAGTGAATAAGTTGTTAATTTAAGAAAATGAATAATGTAAATAATTAAAATGAAGCAATCAAATCTTTAAACATCTACATAGTATACGAACACAGAGGAGGCGTCAACGAATATAATTATTTGATCAAAGTAACTTACCTGTAAGAGTCCTTCGATCAAAATTATATGAAGTTGACGCCTCCTCTGTGTACAACCCTACACTGCTGCATATTATTACCCACCCTAAGGGCTTGCTTGCATTTTAATTATTTTTTTATAATTCTAATGTATATCTATTAGAATTTACAATGACATGAGATATATAGTGCTGCCAGTGGGAGTTCGTATAGGTTGGGATAGCAGTAAAAATATTATTTTTCCACTGCAAGGATAAAAGTAGTGTGATTCGGTCCTTCAATTCATGATTACATAGTATACAAACACAGAGGAGGCGTCCACTTCATATAATTTTGATCGAAGGACACTTCCACGTAAGTTACTTTGATCAAATAATTATAATTTATACTTACGAAAAAAATAGAGCGTGAAACTTTAGCTTTATTTTTCCGATTTGGACAAGCACTTGTACTGAATAAACAATGTATTAATAATAAATACCTTTATGTATCATATTAAAGTAACGCAAAACCAGTCGGTTTATAGAATTAGTAAGGTAATAACTTAAAATAAATATTGTGAAGCTGATTAATACAAGTGTTTATCCAAATCACATACATCTTGTATTTACATTTTTACATTTGGCGTTAAAATACTATCACCTGAATAGATAGTTCACACTAACTATCATCTGATTATAGATGACCTATGGGATATAATAATGTAATAATAATGTCTTGCAGACCGAATTTCGGTCACGGTGGCCAGCCTCAACGGAGACTAGCCATCGGCGTAGGACAGGATTATAGTGACTAGCACTATAATCCTGCACTCTCTATTCATCACTCTCAAATTCCGATGGGACAGTAAACCGACATGACCGAAGAGAGATCTGGCGTAGAACCAACGGATTTACGTACCTTCCGAAGCACGGGGGTGATATACCGCCAACTTCCTGGCTATGGGCAGTTATTGAGAATTTATCGATGGAAAAACTCAATTATTTTTTTCGTCCGACCTAGGATTCAAACCCAGGACCTCATGATCAGTAGTCGCGCTACTACAACCACTAGACTAACGAGGCAGATATACCCTAATATGGGATATACCCGTGTAGTGGCAAAATAAGAATATCCACTACCGAATATCGTCCCGCGGGTGTTGTAAGAGGCGACAGAGGGAAGATTAGACAGGAGTTGGGCGGCTGCAACCTTCTAATAACAACTCAAAACAATTAAAAAAAATTAGGGTAACCAACCCGCCTACCAAGTGTGGCAACTATGGCAAATATCATCACATGCAACAATCAATAGAGAAAGTTTCACGAGCGTATGAATTCTCGCGCCTTAGCACGCTAATTGCTAATTCTAATGCTATTTACTAATAATGCGAGGTTATTAAATTAACTTAGTAATAAGCAACGTGTGAGCTATGTTAATATGCGTACTTAATGGGTGTTTAATAACCGAATTTGAATAAGTAACTATATTTTCAAAGTAAATTAGATCATCATCATTATCATCATTACAACCCTTTACAAGTCCACTGCTGAACATAGGCCTCCCCAAAGGTATGCCACAAAGCACGGTCCTGAGCCACCTGCATCCATCGACTTCCTGCATGTCTTACCAGGTCGTCACTCCATCTAGTGGTGGCTCGCCCTACACTTCGCCTACCGGTACGAGGCTGCCACTCGAGAACCTTTTTGGTAAATTAGATAACACTGTATATTTCACGAAAGTTCTAATTTATCTATTTTGGTTACTATCGATATTACATAATAAAACGTAATGAATTTTGAACCTTATTGGGTACCCAGCCACATACAATCTAATATCAATATTAGCATTAGCAATTTTATACACTTTAGTCGAGATTTCCCGCGTAAATAATAAACACCCCGATCTAGAACCATTATTTTGAGAGCAAGCAAACTCGTTCCGTGCGTGATTTGAACCCGCGGCACCACAGCACTGTAACCAAAAGTTTAGTTATCATAAATTAATATAAATAATACCTTAACGCAGATATCCAGTTCAAATGGGGTGAACGTAGACCACCGGAGTCCGTTTGCAGTGCAGAGTGCGAGTTGGGTCAAGCAAAACAATACGTGGAGGGTGAGAGTTGCTGCTGGCACTGTTTCAACTGCACACAGTATGAGGTTTGTTAAGGACCAGTCTTATAAGCAACCTCAAATAAGCTGCAAGTTCTCAATTCGTCTGTTCATATTTTTTAATAACTATATTCGTATCGTATATCATATCGTACAACTTATATATATTTATAAATCGACTTCAATGATTATTTTTATTAGATATGTAATACTCACGGGTAGCTCCAAAAAAAAATGGAAAGAATAAATCCAATACTAAGCCGAGAAAATATTGAATAATGTTTTATTTCAGATGTTTAGACAATATTCTAGATGAGTCCATAAACTTGAAAAATTCCTTAGTGAAAAATTGATAATTAAACAAAATAAAAAGTAAAAATCTCCCAGAACACAAGCGTAAATATTAGTTTATTTTTGTTGTGTTTCGTAAGGTGACTGTAGGAAACAGGAGACCCTTTTTACTGGAAACGAGGCATTCCATTTTAGTCCCCATGGGTGGCAACGCGAAATTTGATTCTTAATCAGGTTTAGATATAGATTTTGTTTATGGGCCACAGCATTCATTTACCATCAAGTGGACTGTGTGCAATGGCCCACAGTTCACCTGGTGGAAAATGTCACCCTTATTCCATAAAAAATGACTTCAGAAACTAATGGGAATAAAATAGTTTTCAAAAGTAGCATCTGAATTAGAGGCTTTAATTTTTTGATACACTGTGTTATTAGAACTGAAGTCAGTTCAGGAGCTATTATGTGGAAACTATTATTCTTTTTAATATATAAAGTCACCTTCTACTCATAATTTAACGTTTAATTATGTTTTAAGCCTTTTATTTTATTGTTCCGTAAACATTTTCTAAAATATCGTTTACTTGATTACATGATTAAAGAAAAAAGTATTACTTTTTTCTTTAATCATGTTCAACTTTGCACAATTTGACTTGTGAAATTTTACACCGTGGCGGATGTAGGGCAGGGTGACCCGACTGATCCAGTGCGTCGGTTTCAGTGGGGCGCAACGTGCTCTAGTGGTAACTTGAACCACGAACGGGTCATCGCTAACTCAGCTTATTTTTCCGGACTACACCACCTTTTTATTAAACCATCTATAAAACATCAAAGCTATTGTTGAATGGGCTAAAACCGGTTTATTAACACATGTACCTATGTAAAAAGTCATTAAATGGTATTGCATCTCAAATCAAAGTTCAAATAAATTGTTTACATCTCTTATTTAAAATATTCACACAATTTAACTGAAATATGATATGCTTTTTAATACAAAATTAAGTTTTCCAAGAGTCACGTTTCGTTTCATGATACTCTCATTATGAAAATGATAATTGGAAAAAGTTGGATATACCTGAAATTCGGATGCCACAAACTTTTTTCATCAAAGTCTTCTTTCTCTCTTAATAACTTTTTAATTGACGTAAGTGAGACAAACGAGCCTTAACCTTAACCTTGATTAAGAATAAAGATGTAGGTAGATGTTTTTTATCCCTGAGAACTAGATAATGATAATGAAAATGCCTCACTAATAGTAAAATGTTTTCCATTTCACGTCTCTTAGCCTATATGATAATATATACGTATGTCGGTAGAAAATGCGCAGATTGAACTTTTAAACAGCCGTTATCGGTGCAGTTAGTCTTCATTTTTTTTACATATATTTTTATTGTATCAATCTTCATTCAATATTCAATCATAAAAATAAAGTCGACTTCATTTGCATTTATTGTAGGAAAACTGGTAACGCCTTGAGATATGTTTTGCATATTATTGAAAGTAAGGATGCATTAGGAAATTAAGGAATGCAAGCCAGTACATTTGTGTTACTAATATTATTCAATAATTCTAGAAATGCACCAACGCTTTATCGATGCGTGTTGAAAATTATGTTATTTAAATTAATATTTCTTTTAGATACGATCGCCATATGTTGAGACAACTTGTATGGTATGCCCCCGTGGTACTCTGCCTGATCCAACCCGCACGCACTGTCAACCAATACCGGAAGTGTACCTTCGGCCGGATTCAGCGTGGGCTATTGGAGCTATGTCGTTCTCTTCCTTTGGGATTCTTGTTACAGCGTAAGTTTGTTTAAATATTATAGTTTCAAATATAATGTCTATAGGCTGCACATTTACTTACTATCAGGTACTCATTTTCAAATTTCACATCGTAAAAAAGCGTCAAACACGCTAATCCAGTGCGAATAAGCTTCTTAATGTATTTTTAATTTATTGGAAATTCCGTTTTCATGGCCAAGTTCTACTTCAATCCTAATTCCATCGTAAATCATCAATGTTAAATTATGATTGATAGTTAAAATGATTTCGACTATTTTATCAGTGTGCAATTATAACTATATATAATTATCCTTACGTTGTTCGTCATCAATTTTAAATAATTTATTATTAGCTGGCCAGCCTAACAAAGATGCATCTCAAAGTATTGCAAATATATTTTTATTAAAATAGATTCCGCATTTTATAACGAGGTTCAGATAAAACATCAAAGGCCAAAGAATTAAACGTTAATATAAAGAAAGGAAATATAAAACACACGCTTGAAGTTTACTTTGATAACATGCCAACCTTAAGATTGGTGAAGTAGCATGTGAAAGCTACATTAACCTTATAAGTTCATACCATTTATATATAAACCATTTTTAAAACATGAAACATTATCGTTTAAAAGATCAAAATTATTGGAATGAATAGAATAATGCCCATATTTAGCATACTTAGTACAGTTTTCTTGTCCAGTGAAGATCTCTTTTAAGCACCATGCTTAAAAGATTGATTGGGTTTTGTATTATCAGACCTCTATTTTTGAATGTATATATCTGTTATAATATATAAAATAAAATAAAGTATAATGTCCTTCAGACCGAATTGGGTCACGGCAGCCAGTCTCAACGGAGACAAGCCATCTGCGCAGGATAGAATTATAATGCCCGATTGGATGCAGAAGCACAAGTATATTCTCTATTCCCTCACTCTCATAGTCCAATGTGATGGTTATCTGACACGACCTAAAAGGCCATTTTTCAAGTTTGCAGTCTGCAAACTCCAATATACTGTACTTTATACATATAGATATCCCTTTACGGTAAATGTTGATCAGACGCGACTTCACGCGAACACTTTGTTGATCCAAAAACGCATGTTAATCCGGCGCCTTTTGTTGATCCAATATGCATCTCTGGTATTGGTCGACAAACATAAATAAATTGATTTAATTTAGTAATCTGAATTATATTGTATTTGTTTACTTTGTATTGGTGGTAATGTTACCTGTATCTGCATAGGTATCTGTTTTCATATATATATATATATATATATATATATATATATATATATATATATATATATACTACTGTCGTTTTTATATAGAAGATAAATAACACTTACAACTTTGAGAAGTCGTTTAGTGTCGCAAAATGAACTACAAGATTTCTCTATTCTATTACTACTCGATTACAAATCTTCGAAAGTAAAGGTATTTAATAAAGGTACATTTCAAATGACTTCGATTTAAAATGCATAGGGCTATTAATAAAATTAAATATATATTTCATGGTATCTATAGCTCGACGACATAGAAGTAGAAAAATTTGTGTTTATTTTGATCCTTTTGTTAAAGTTTCGTATGCGGTGTGTGGGTCCGACACAGTTCAACTCCTGTCGTACGTGCAAGTGGGAGAGAACTATCGTATGTCCTTCTCGCCGGCATTCTTATGTGCTACCTCGTTACGTTTGCTCTTGTTTTCCGACCGACTGACGTATTATGTTCTATACAAAGGTGAATAATTATTATTTCCCTTGAAAATTGTTAGCTTTAAATATTAATACGTATGTTAATTACGCAGCTTTACTACGTCAGTGCAGACATAGTAAAGCCGCGTTGAAATTGCATTATGGCCATGGTGCTAATGTGTGACCTTGACGGGGGAAAAATATTTTCTCGCCGAATACTAGCGTGAAATAGCAACATATTCTGCTGTTTCGTAGAGTTTACCAAAGACGACCCTTTAATAGTGATGAGAAATTCGATATATATCTTCAGGGATGCCAACGTATCAGCAGCAAGATTTTCTTCTTCTCCTCCATCAGCCTGTAAAAGACCATTGCTAGAAATGGACCTCTTCTGTTGTGGAGAGGACTTGCCATTATGAGGGCATCTACGACACTACCACAAGAGTGGCGCCACTTATATAGGAATGAGGTGATATATTTTACAGGTAATTCACCTCATTCCTATGTAATTGGGTTAAGTAAATTTGTTATAAAAGTGTAGAAATTAATATTAATTTCCGTAAAAAAAATTAACTAATTATCATCATCATCATCATCATCACAGCCCTTCACAAGTCCACTGCTGAACATAGGCCTCCCCCAAGTAATGCCACAAAGCACGGTCCTGAGCCACCTGCATCCATCGACTTCCTGCATATCTTACCAGGTCGTCACTCCATCTAGTGGGGGGTCGCCCTACACTACGCCTACCGGTACGAGGCTGCCACTCGAGAACCTTTCTTCCCCCATCGGTTATCGGTTCTTCGAGCTATATGGCCGGCCCATTGCCACTTCAGCTTACTAATCCGTTGGGCTATGTCGGTCAATCTGGTTTTACTGCGGATATCCTCATTTCTGAGTCTATCACGCAGAGAAACTCCGAGCATAGCCCTCTCCATAGCTCGCTGAGCGACCTTGAGCGTCCTCATACGGCCAGCAGTGAAGGACCACGTCTCTGATCCGTAAGTCATCACTGGCAACACGCACTGGTTGTACACTTTAGTTTTCAGAGATTGAGGTATACCTGACGAGAAGATATGTCGTAATTTCCCGAACGCTGCCCAGCCGAGTTGAATCCGTCGATTGACCTCTCGGTCGAAGTTGGACTTACCTAGTCGGACTATTTGTCCCAGGTAAACGTACTCGTCAACAACTTCGAGCATAGTGCTCCCAACAACTACCGGCATAGGTGTGACATGGACATTAAACATAATCTTTGTTTTGTCCATGTTCATCTTAAGACCTATCCGTTGGGAGGCACTATTGAGGTCATTGAGCATAGTGCTTAAGTCCTCCAGCGATTCTGCCATAAGGACTATATCGTCGGCAAATCGAAGGTGAGTGATGTACTCGCCATTGATGTTAATACCGTATCCTTTCCAGTCCAGTAGCTTGAAAACGTCTTCCAAAGCAGCGGTGAAGAGTTTCGGGGATATAACGTCACCCTGTCTTACACCTCTCTGCAGTTGGATAGGTTTCGAGCTCTGGTTCTGTACTCGGATAGCCATCGTAGCCCTGCTGTACAAACACTTCAGCACTTCAATATACCGACAGTCAACTTGGCACCGCTGAAGGGACTGCAGCACCGCCCAAATTTCGACGGAATCAAAGGCTTTCTCATAGTCCACATACGCCAGGCAAAGTGGCAAATTGTACTCTTCAGTCTTCTGTACAATCTGCCGCAGGGTATGTATGTGGTCTATGGTACTGAAGCCTTTTCGGAAACCGGCTTGTTCGGGAGGCTGGAAGTCGTCGAGTCTGCGTGCGAGACGATTCGTAATGACTCTCGAAAACAGCACGTAGACGCGGCTCAGAAGGGAAATCGGTCTGTAGTTCTTCAAGAGAGCGTTGTCGCCTTTCTTAAAGAACAAGACCACCGCACTTCTGCTCCACGCCTCTGGAGTAGTGCCACCATGGAGGACGGAATTGAAGAGCTTCTGAAGGACTTCAAGTACCGGTGTTCCACCCGCTTTCAGAAGCTCCGCTGTAATTCCATCCTCGCCTGGGGCCCTGCCGTTTTTAAGGTGCTGGAGAGCCATTCTAATCTCGCTTAGACTGACGTCCGGGATATCATCGGAATAGTGTCGGATAAGACTTGCTCTTGGATCGTTACTCACACTTGCGTGTGGCTCCAACGATGATGTGTACAGCTGCCCATAGAACCTCTCAATCTCACTCAAAATCTCAGGTGTCCCGGAAACGATGCTGCCACACTCAGTCTTCAGCCTTGACAGTTGGCTCTTTCTGGCAGATAGATCTCTGGCAAAGACTTTGGAGCCCTGGTTCCGCTCGATCGCTTCTTTAATACGAGCAGTATTAAAGTTGCGTAAGTCTCGCCGCATGCATTTGGAGATCTGTCTGTTCAGTTGCCTGTATGCTGTCAAATCTGTTGACGATTGCAGCCTCATCTCCCGTCTAACAGCCATGAGATTAAGAGTGTGATCGGAGAGTTTTTGTGTTCTTCTGCGGCGGGTCTTGCAGAACTTAGCTCCGACCGCATGGACAGTTTCCACGAGCTTGTCATTCATATCGTCCACTGCATTGCAATCTTGTAGGCACTGAAAGCGGTTGTGTAACTCGAGCTGAAAGTTTTCGGGATTTTGGATCAGAGCACGAGGGGGACGGAGCGTTGACTTCATTAGACGAGACCTCTCCAACTTAACGTTTAGGTTCAGTGTGCCTCTAACCATTCGGTGATCGCTGCCAGTTTTCACCCTTGCGATCACTGAGACATCACTGAACAGTTGGCGTCTGGTCGTCATAATGAAGTCAATCTCATTTTTTGTCGAACCGTCGGGGCTCGACCAGGTCCACTTCCTGTGGCGCCGCTTCTGGAAGAAAGAGTTCATCATAAAGAGTCCCTCTTTCTCCATAAAGTCGGCCAGCTGCTGGCCCCTTCGGTTCCGTTGCCCTACTCCAAATTTCCCTAACTTCAGCTCACCGCTTTCTCTTGTGCCTAGTTTTGCGTTGAAGTCTCCCATCAACACCGTGTAGTGGGTTTTGGAGGAATGTATGGCTTTGGAAATATCCTCATACATTTCCTCCACCTCCTCATCGGAATGTGCCGACGTTGGTGCGTAAACCTGTATGACCTTCAGCGAATACCGTTTGGTGATTCTGAGTATCAGGTACGCGACCCTCGTCGACACACTCTCAATCTGTACAACGTTGTTGACGAGAGACTTGTGGACGATAAATCCGACACCTCCTTGGGACAGATGGTCGCCCTCCCGGTGATAGAACAAGTTGCCGGATTCGAGAATCACCGTGTCCTCCCCCTCTCTTCGGACCTCGGATAATCCTATAATACTCCAGCGCAACTTGTCTATCTCTTCTTCCAGCTCCAGGATCTTCTCGTCAGTCCTCAGTGTGCGTGCGTTAAATGTTGCCAGGTCGAGTCGTCGTAGGTGGCAACCGAACCTCCACCGGAGATTCTTAGCACCCCCTGCCCCGCCGTTACCATGGTCGCCACCGTAGCCAGGAATAGCGGGGCCGCCGGGGACTGGGGGCCGTCTATTTGTGTAATTGTTCATGGGGGGTATATTTCCATAGTTGCCACGCTTGGCGAGCGGGTTGGCAACCGCAGTTTTTTTTTGTCGTACAGTTGCTGTTATCAGGAAGATGCTGCTGCCCATCTCCTGCCTGTCTCCCTCTGTCGCCTCTTACGACACCCACGGGAAGATGTGGGTTGCCGTGTAGTGGCGGTTAAGAACTAATTATATTTCATATTAATTGGACCATAAATGGATAAACCAAACTACGAATCTTTCTAAAAGTAAGAAGTGTAAAATATAAAAAAAAACTTATGGAATACAGCTGAGGCATTGTTTTTACAATATAAATCGTTTTTATATTTTTAACGAAATTTTTAATGACGATGACAGTGTCTGACTATTGGTGTAACAAATAAGTTCATCTTAGTTCGAAATAAATACATCTTGTCTCAATTTTACACACCTGCCATGTAACAGTGAGACCGCTGTCTACCTCAGTACCAATCGTGATCTTGTTCCTTGTCTGAGTATTTTACATCTAGTGTGCACGACATGATTACACCGCCATCTCCCGGAAACTAAAAGATTTTTTTGCATTTCTCATACTCACATTTTATGACACCCGATAAAAATGTACAATCTTACATCAATTACATATTTATTATGATATCGGTTCTTACCTTTTAATATCCAGTACTAAAATTAAAATAAAATTTATGTTCAACAGATTCGGAACGGGTTTCTGTTTCACAGTTGTATACGCAGCACTTCTTACTAAAACGAACAGGATTTCCAGAATCTTCAACGCTAGCAAGCACTCCGCTAAGCGACCGATTTTAATCTCGCCTAGCTCTCAGCTTGCTATTTGCGCCGGTCTCGTGTCCATTCAGGTAATTCCGAATATTTTATTTAAGTAAAGTAAGTAACGATCTCTTTTTAACTTCCGACGTAAACATAGGAGTGTTATGTGTTTAACGTATGTATCTGTGTGTCTGTCTATGGTATCATAGTCCTTAAACTGGTAAATCGATTTTGATGAAGTTTTTTTTCTTTTGAAAGGTGTCTGAACTGAGTGTTCTTAGCTATGATACAATAAAATCTTTTCAGACGTCATCAGATCCTTTTGTTTTGGGGGTTTTTTAAGGTATCAATTTAAGTTATTTAAATTGTGCAAGCAGCAATGCAGTTTTAAAAAGATCAGTGTAAAATCTGTTGTGGTCGTGCTTCGGCTATAGTTCACTGCTAAATCTTCTAAAGTTGCTTGGCTGTAAGCAATTTCACCTCCTCCGAGTTAAGTTTACAAGATGAGAGTTACGTTTGCGCATTAAGGGTCCACAATCAGTTAGGATGTGGATTATGGAGATGTTAGAGTTGCGATCTTTATTTTTAGCTTAAGTTCTCTCTTAGTAACTAAGGATATCATTTCATTTCGTTTCAAGTCCTGAAAAATACTCCTACTCATACTCTACTTGAGGATTCCTAAGTAATGATATTCTTTGTTATGTTGAGCTGTGACTTGTGGCCGTACCTATAAAATAATCATATTCCAGTAGCCCAATTTAAAACATAAGTTAAAACAATATATAAATAATGATATACCATTATTACAGTTTTTGAAAATACGAGTAAATAAGGCTTACGAGTTAATAAGGCTTTTACTTTAAATTATCCCAAATTAAATGTGATAAATGAGCAACAACCTTATCGTCTACCGAGCGACCCTTACGCATGTGTGCGTGATCAGTAAAATTAGTTATAATTATACTCTATTCCAATTACGAAGTCCCTTTTGACACTTTTTAGAACGTAACTCTTCACGCATAATTTGAAATAATAATAATTTTTTGTTCATGGTCGTAAATCATCATTTACAAATACACAATCAATCTTAATTATTATACAATTAATTCACACACACAATCAACATATTGTTTTTAGACATCGTGCTCAAAATAATTAAAACTTTAAAAGAAAATAATATTTTACTGCCGTTTTGCGTTCACGTTCTATAGATTTATTTTTACTTTTTTACATAGTGACGTGACTAAAAGAATCGTATAAAATCGATTATTGACAGATTCTTTTCGCGAGTGAAAATCTGTCAATACTGCGTCCACCTCGTGATCAAGACCGCCATTTTATTTGTCTCTTCAGTACGAGTGCAGAAGCCATGTATACGATACGCGTGTTCAGTTTAGTTGATTTTCTGTTGTGTTTTTATTTCGTTCTTGTTATTTTAGTTATAACTGTTTGATAATTCTTTCGTTGTTATTAAGTTTTGACTGTTATTTGAATTGTTTTTTTTTGCCGAAACTGAGACCACTAAAAGAAGAGTGATGCGCAGTCAAGCGCGAGAGTTTGTAGTACGCCTAAAAGATTACTTCGAAAGAGAGTATCAGAATGGTGGTCCATTGTTGCCACTTTCACAAGTGACTAACCGAGTAAGTGCAGCTCTTGGTATTAGTCGAAAAACTGTTTGCCGAATTAGTAAGGAAAACATGGTAAAGATTTAATGGAAGATAAAAAATTTAAATCGCCACTTAAGAAAAAAGTTAGAAGATCGATAGTTACACATATCGACAATTTTGATAATGACGCCATTAGAAACCATATCTATGGCTACTATAGTAGAAAAGAATTGCCGACTCTCGATAAATTGTCAAATAATTTACGAGAATCTGGACTGTTTCACGGCAGTAAAACTTCTTTCTGGAGGGTTTTAAAAATTTTGGCTTTTCGTATAAAAAATGTGATAGCCTGATTTAATTTTCTAAGATCAGGAAAGTCTATTGCCATTTGGAATAATGTTATATTTCTAGATGAGACGTGGCTAAACGCTAATCATACAGTTGGCAAGATATGAACAGACGACACTCCTCACTCCTCCACAAAAGTACCTAGTGGCAAAGGCGAACGCTTAATTATTTGTCATGCGGGTTCAATGAAGGGATTTGTTCCGAACTGCCTCTTGGCGTTTAAATCTAAGAAAACTGTGGAATACCACGAAGAGATGAATTTTGTTAAATTTAAGGAATGGTTTTGTACCTTATTGACCAACTTGAATGAGCCATCGACGAATAAGCCGATATTGTGAAATGGCTGAATGACAATAATATTGTTGCTGACATGTCCATGTTAAAAGTTGAGCTGCTGCATTTGGTTGCTATAAATAAGCCAGCTAGACCAAAATACGTATTGGACGAAATGGCTAAGGAAGCCGGACACAATGTAATGCGCCTTCCACTACCATTGTCAATACAATGCCATAGAATTGATTTGGGCGCAAATTAAAGGCAAGAATTTAAACAAATCTTTTTTTATAATTTATTTTTACCTATTTTAACATTTTATCTGTTGCTATATAAACACGCAAACTTTTATTTTAGGTTATGCGCCTCGTAAAAATACCATCCTACCATTTACTGCAAACAAAATGCTGTCATTGTTGCAAGAAGCTTGTGATAGTGTTACTGCCGCGAATTGGGAAAGTGTGGTTTTACAAATAAAAATTTGATTTTCGCTGATTGGAACAGAGACATACATATCGATGTCGTCATAGATAACTAAATTATGGTAAATACAGGGGATTCTACAGACGATGATGAGGGTGATGACGACGATGCTGAACATGAAATATTGATTTCGGCTAGTGATGATGAATATGTTCCATCTTGATAAAAATATCATGTAATATTATCTAATTAAAATTAAAAAACAGTTTTATAAATTTTAATTTGATGCTTATCCTTTTTCTGTCAATACGATTTTAATTTGTTCGTTATAGTAATCGAAGATCAATATCGTCAAGTATCGGCTATAGCGGTACTTTACTAGTACTTGATTATTGACATCTGTCAAATGGGACTTCGTAATTGTAATAGAGTATAGGCTTTACCACACATTTTGAATTAAAAATATATTAACTACAGAATGTTTGAGATTTTTTTAATTAATGTTTCTTCATCATTTGCCAGAATATGTAATATATTCTGACGTTCTCTGCAAATGCAATTTATTTTCTTTCGGTGATTGCAAAATAACCCTGTTAAGATCCTCAACTTTTTGCTTGTGAATGTAGCGAGTTGAACATAAGTACCATTGTTGGCTACAGGTCTCCTCATATTTAAAAGAGGACTTTAGAAGCAATTAGTCCAAATGTTAACTGAGTGTTGAACTTCATATATGTGAAATTTTTTGTTTCTCATACATGTAAATTTCCGTACGATGTTTTCCCTTATCGCAAAACGAGTGTTTTTTCGAAGAACAAATTTATCAAACAAACACATAGTCCACCTGATGGTAAGTGAATGCTATGGCTTGTAGACATCTACATCTATCCTTGATTAAAAATCAAAATGTGCTGTCACCTCAGAGTACCAGAAAGAATAAACGAAACAAAGCATAATTAAAAAAGTAAGGGAGAGAGTTGGGGGAGGGAAGCATCACGCCACCCAACGTAGCGCAGTCGAGGGAAGCCCGGTCGACGGAGCCTCGCTTTGCGGGGCTCCTGCTTCTGAGTGGTTTATAAAAAAATAAACACGAAGGAAATGGCGGGGTCTATTCCTCGCTTCGCTCGCTCGCTCGATCCCGCCATCTCCTTCTAACCTTATCTGTCCAAGTCGGGATGCCCTAAGTCCCGAGCTCGCTTCGTTTGCTCATACACTCAATAAAACACCAAAATATTACCTCTTATAATTATTTCGATTTTCTAGAACGTTTATGATAAGATTTAAAGTCAAGAAAATAATAAACAAATATTTTTCAATGTTTTTTTTTAAATGTACGTTTGTTTATTTAGATTAACAAACAAAAATATAAACTTCGTTTTGCAAAAAAGTTATGAACGATTATATTCGAAGAAGTGCGTTTATGATCACATTTAAAGTCATAAAACTATATTATGAAATCTTCGGATGAGATATTTTCCATAGTTTTTTTCATAAATCCGCCGTAAAAATGAAGTTTTAAAAAAATTATCAAAATCGGATGATTTTTCGAATTTCTAGAGCCAAAAAAGGAGGGGACCACGTAAGTATAAAATTACCCAGAATTTTATGTATTTGAAATAAAATTAATCTGAAAATGTAATTCTTAGGCAAACAAAAAATATTTTCATTTGAATTGGCTAGTACTGCAGAACGGCAACCTACTACTTCATATACTTATTAATTATTAATTTCGAAGTCAACTAATTTATTATTTATCCACAAACACGCACTTAAATGCTAAGCTATTCACTTTTACTATTCCTGAAAAGGTTAATTTCTACGCCACAAAAGCTCCTCTAATCAATAAATCTAAAGAAATCTTTTAAAAGTTAATCGGCTTAATGATTCTGTTGGATGTACTCTAGCATACTCATACATCCATAAACTTTATTTATTTATTTTGTACTTTCTCCCTTTTTCCTTATTCCTTATTAGTTGCCGGTTCTTCAAGCTATATTAATATACAGCTCAATTTTCATCCACAAAAGACAGTTAGGTACTTGTGTTCTCTTGCGGATATCCTCGTTACGGAATTTATTCCCAGAAAAATTCCGACCATAGCCCTTTTCATTATACTCTGAGTGAATTTGAGCTTTAAAGTATGGTCATTATTAAATGAGTTGTTTTAGTTTCACAAGTTATCACAGACAACATATGCTAATTAAAAATACTTTATGAGAGAACTTTCTAAATTTTTATCTTTGCTGTGTATTTTATTGTATAAATTTATAAATAGTAAATAAGATCAAGACGTCTCATGCACAACCAAAGTTAGGACCAGCGATTCAAAACAGAAAATGTAGCGTAAATATGCCACATGCCGCATGAAACAAAATCAGTGTAAGACGGTCAAAAACATCGCCTGCGGTTGAGAAAACAAAAAAACTAGTTTTCACCCACTTGCAGTCAAATAAAGAAGTTATGGAGCATTGACCGTAACTTACTATGCAATGTATTAAGGCCGCAGAGCCCGTCTAGTAGAATACGTGTATCGAAATATCAAAGATGAAAGAAGAGAATTTATTTCATTTGCAAAAATTTCAGGTTCTTATTGTGGTTGTCTGGATGATTGTGGCGCCAGCAAGAGCCATGTTTCACTATCCAACGCGTGAAGACAACATGCTTGTTTGTGATTCTTATGTGGACGCTTCTTATATGATTGCTTTCTTTTACCCAATCGTGCTCATTATCATCTGCACAGTATACGCAGTGCTAACCAGAAAGATTCCTGAAGCATTCAATGAAAGCAAACACATAGGTGTGTACGAATTATTATAATTATTATTATATTCAATGAATTGTTTATCTAAAAGATGACAGAGGGAAATTGTTACTGAATTGGCAGGAGATGGGCAGCAGCATTTTTATAACAACCTCAAATAATAAAACACCGCAGATTAAATTTAAATAAAAAATGACGTTTTTTGCCATCATTTGTAAATTTTAATAAGATATTCTTCCATGTTAAGAGACCCCATCTTATCGTCTTATCCTGTGAGCTTCGTAAGAGGTGACTTGAGAAATGTCTAAACAAGTTTAGTTGACAGAAACATTTGAATTGAACATTACGTCCTTTAAATTTTACAATTCGTCAATATACACATATAACTTTAATCTAAAGTTTTAATAAATTCATGACTTGTTTCGTAGGTTTCACTATGTATACCACATGCGTGATTTGGCTTGCTTTTGTACCACTCTATTTTGGCACCGCAAGCCACGTGCCATTACGTATTACAAGTATGGCGGTCACCATATCTCTGAGTGCCAGTGTCACTCTAGCCTGTCTCTTCTCTCCGAAGGTAAATATTTTTAAATCAATACAAATCTTATCTCTTTTTCCAGCAAGACATTAGTTCACATAAATTTATAGACATATAAAAAAAAATCACAAAATTTGCACACGATCGGTGGCTCTGAAGGTGAGCATAAAATTTTAAATTTGCAGCGTGTAATGTGATAAAAGGTCCGGAGTGATTTTGAATTTGCAACTCATCGCACCACCTAAAAAAGGGTAGAAGAACATCTGCCGGGCCAGCTATATTTATATTTTAAAAGATGATAATTTACGTTTACGTTTTATTATTTGCTGTCCTAATGGTAATTTAATTTCTCTTTTCAGCTATACATAATTTTAATCAGGCCTGAAAGGAATGTCCGTCAGAGCATTATGCCTGTCCGATACAGTAGGAAACCTTTACCTACACAAAACATTACACATAATCATAATAAAAGTAAGTATTTATATAACACATCTTAACAGCGATGATCTTAATATTAATTTTGTAAATTTATAAAAAGTATGTTTAAATGATGACTAAAGAGTTTATTTAATGAATATAATTAAATTGTATTGTTCCATTCCATGCCCATAATTCTAATGGTTTTAAAGGTTCCAAATGATTTAACATTAAAACTATTGTTATTATTGCTTCAGAACTTTCTTTCGCTGATAAAGAAACTCAAACAGATCCAACAGATTTCAGTAAAGTTACAAATGGACAAACTGTACAATTAAGACGTATAAGTTTAGATAAATGTGATGTTAACATAAGACAAGGTAAAGATTTTATGGAAGAAAGAAAATCATCGAAAGACAAAGTAGACGGAATCAAAGAAGGGAAAGACAAAAATGAAGATAAAAATATTTCCAAAGACAACTTAAATGAAAGAAATCAAATGAAAGACGTTATACAGGAAAAATATATCCCCAATAACGTCAAACCTTTAAACAATCATGATATTGCTAGGGAAAAAATTGTCATCGTTCAGTCAATACATGAAAAATCAAATAACTTATAGCAATGGGAATCTTCCAAATCACTAACCGATGTTGGAACTACCAGAAATAATAAAAGTAGCCTAAGAAAGAAAAGCTGTTCTTGTAAAGTGAGGGAGCGAAAGCCGATAGTAGTGTAAACTGAAAAAAAATGTTTAATATTTTCACAATTTTTTATCATCGCCGTTGTTATTATAAATACATTCATGTACCGATGTCATAAGTTTTAATTATGTATTGTAAATCTGCGAAAGAAATGAACTCAATATAGTAAATTTAAAATAAGATTATTAGATATATAAAATGGTTTTCAAACTAACGCCAGTCTCGCATGTAATGCTAGCATTTTTCCCCATAAGAGAAAAAAATGTAAAAATGAAAATGAAGACGCATAGTGATATTTCCTGTAAATATATAAAATATATTATACATATAATAGGCTACGTTCTCTAAAGCTGTAAATGTTATATATATAAACTTGATATGTGCAAGGCAGGGCACTGAGCCAGGGCGGAGAGGATGCGTGATAAAATATAATTTTTTATTTGTCTGTTAAGGAGGGATATTTCAAAGGGTACATCTTAAACTGGAATATGAAACTCTAGCCATCCTTTTTGTGTTCAGATGTTTGCTATTTTAAACTATTTGATGTATTTTGATATGTTTTATCATTGAAACCTCTCCGCCTTTTGCTCGCCTTGTAAATATTGAACCTTTTGTAAAATAGACGTCATATATAAAATAGATAGAATAATAAAAACGTTTTGATGTTTTTTGCGTTTTATTTTTTTACCTTAAAACAAAGACATTTCACAGTCATTGAAAGCCTTACTGCAACCTGCTGTATGTGATTTATTGTTCTACCTCAGAGAAGCTTTCTGTTACCAAAAATAATACAATCACAACGTTTTTCTGTTTACCTTCACTGGTCTGTATATGTCAGCTTTTTGATTAGTTTGTCTGCTGCTGGCTCAAGTTTTTACGTTTTACCATATTGTTACTTAGGTCAAGCTATGGTTAAGGAAATACGGCGTTTTTCTGGGTGTCATGAAACTTTATATAGTAAAAAAATCTATTAAAAAAACTTCCTGTCTCCAAGCAGCAGTGAACCTTTTTTACATTTACATAGGGAAATGCCTACGTACACCCGCCTCGCGGGGGCAAGGACTGGTTATGTCGGACACGCACTACTAAAACCACATGGTGTTCCACCTTCGTCGCATATTGGCAGGGCTATGGGAAAGCTTTTGCACACATTCACAGCCCCACCAGCGCTGGCCGCCCCAAGGCGGCCCCTTCTCGGGAGAGGACTGCCCTTTCCCCATCTCCTTCTCAGGTAAGGCACACCAGAACACATGGAACGCCCTCCTCCGTGGGAGCTACTATTGCGTTCGGATTTTTAAGGTTGGAAAGTCCTTAAAATTATAGGGTATTGCAGCCTATCCAAAAATCCACGATTGAACTCCCCTATAGATTGCCTCATTGGAGGCAAAAAAGAACTAAACATAAAACAAATTTTAAATTACTTAAATTACGATAGTATAAAAATAAAACCCAAGAATAAGAAAAAATTAACAACATTTTTTTGAAATATATTTTTATCATTTTCAATTAAATTTTATAGCATTTATAAGACGAAAGTTTTAATTTATAATTCCAAACCAATTAGTAGTTACTAAAAATTAAAAAACTAATTGTTATATTATCTAATCATATCTTTAACACAAGTTCTCCTTTTTTCGAAGTTCCCTTCCTATGGGCTTCCGTATAAATTGTGCGGTTGGATCACCGGTTTTCTTACTCATCGGAGCATCAAGGTTGTAGTAGACGGTCCATGCTCTCATTACAAACCTATTAACGCTGTTGTTCTACAAGGCTGCGTGCTATCACCAACGCTGTTTCTTTCACATACTGTGACGGCCCATCATTATTATTAATAATTAATAAATACAAATTTATTAAAAAAAACATGTATAAATATTTAAAAAATGATAAATAATAGAAATAAATTGTATTTCATAATATTAAGTAAGTAGTATAAGTAATTGTTAAGAAAATATTATAAAAATAATGATAAATAACATTTATAAGATAATTAGAAAATTGGTTAAAAATTGTCAAGTCATGGTGGGAGTTCGTGTATAAAAGAAAATTTTGCTTGTATGGAGTAACTGCCGGAGACGAATAACCAAGGTTGTACATATATATGACCAAGGTTGTACATATATATGACCAAGGTTGTACATATATATGAGGTGGTCGGGTGCCCGACTGCTTGAAGTACTCTAGCACAATGACTAGTCCTATATTAGGGACTTATGATAGTAAGCTCTATTATACCAAAGCATTATTATAGGTCTCCATAATGCATAAGCATTATTATACTAGACTTATGGGTTGAAGTCCGATATATTAAAGACATATAATAGTAAGGTCTATGATAAAAAAATACTATAGAAAGTCTCTATGATGAATTAGCATTACAATAGTAGAGTTGTGGGTTGAAGTACGGCTTTCCCGTGGACATCGCACATCCATAACGTTTGTGAGCGGCGTCGCAGCGTATAGCGATGCGTTGTCTATCTTTCGGATTGGGATGAGTGTGTTTGGTAGCACTTTTAAGTGTAACAGATATACTCAACTTCATGTCTTAGTGCATTAGCGCTATGGTACGTTGAGTTTTGTTCACTAGCGTCTTAGTAGCGTGCTACTATGATACGTTGGTGTTATTTTTTAGTTAATAACAATACAAGTTTTGTTACCAAAGTCGATAGGGATCATGTGGGTGTGTTGTGAGGGAGCGCCATCCGTATGATAGTTGCATTGATGCTTACTGCTACTTGCGGTATTGCGTCATGCGATGGATCTGCGGGTGTGCTGCGCCTGATTCGACGCACTCTTGTGGTTCTGGTCAATGGAGGTATGCGGGTGGTGATGTCTGCTGGGATGTATGAGCGACCTTGGGATGGTGTAAATCCGACGATAGTCGTATTGATGCTTGCTGCGTTCTGCAGCATTGCGTCTCTGCGATGGTTGTTTGGTGGGACGATATTCTCAATGGCGCTCTCTGCGTCTTGGTTTGACTCACACCTAAGTGGCTTTGCCCAAGTCGGGTCCCTTCATTACGGGGCTGCAGACTGTCTAACCTACATGATGTTTTACATAACAACATAATAATATATCTCTGTAACTTTTCCACCTTTGAATGATTGAAGGCAACTTGTTGATGGGTGAGACAAACACGATCTAAAATGCATATACTCAACGTCAGTGACACAAACCCTTTCTGATAGATTATTACTAACATCTTATAATCGCCTTTTGGCTATATCTGTCGTTGTATTGGAGCATATGCATCGACCTCGTGCGGGCGGTAGCTGGAGGGAGGATCTGAAGAGATTCTCAAGGCTGCAGCCGAGAGCAGCACAATGGTGATGCCATATACTTACATCACGTCTGCAGGAGCGGCGGTCTGGCAGGTGGTGGCACTCTCAGAGGGTTTTTGGCCCCTGTGCCTATTTGCCTAAACCGTGTGACGTACATTCACTGTGGCGCGATTCGTTTGTATTCTGTATGGTGTTTACACGCATTGACTTGGTGGATGTTAGTGCTTACGTACTACCAAGGGGCCAAGCCCTCATCTACAGGTTCGCCAGTTATTTTGCTGTGGACTACGGTCTAGTTCCCGAATTAGCGTTCCCTTCGGAGGAGTGCATCAAAATTGTTGGCACTCACCGCGCACGGCGTGTGTGGGGCCGTGTGCCTCCCCTAAATTTCTTAAAATAAATGTAGTAGAGAGAAACCCTTATATTAGGTATTTTTGTATAAATATATTGTGAGCCTTTTTCCAAGCGGGAAGGCATAATTGATAATAAACTAATAATGTAAAGTGGAAAAGGGACGTTTTAATGTTCTTAACTTTCTCGAGTCTTGTTTTCGTGAACGGAGTTCACATGGCGTCCAAGGCACTACCAACCGCTTTCAATTGCTCTAGTTTATATTCATTCTTCCGAAAGATACCTAAAAGAACTAAGTTACTAAACAAACACAACGTAAATAAGGGTCCTAACTAAGACGATCACGCCAATAATATTACAAACGGTCTATTATTAAACTTTTAGAAATATCATTTAGAAAGATCAAAACATACTTTATTATTATCACATATGTATAATTTTATTTTACAAGGGGAAATTACCTAATTATAAATAATGTAATATATTTACTAAGCGAAGAGGTGCGGGGGGAGTGTTACAATATCAATGATATGTTACAAACTGATAACATTCATTGCTATGCAGACGACAGCACTTTTGATGCCTTATACACCGGCCGTGCTAATATTTCTCAGGAAAACGTCGCCGAGTACCGGAACAAACTTGTGTCTGAAGTCGAGACTTTGTTGAACAAAATCTTAGACTAGGAGCGACTAAATCTAGTCCAGTTTAATCCCCAGAATACACGAGTTTGTGCGTTAACCGCTAAAAAAGATCCTTTTGTCGTATCTCCTCAGTTTGAAGGTACTCCCCTTGCTGCCTCAGCTAGCATCGGACTCATCTGCATCGACATATCGAATAGTGTGCAGTTTCATGGTCACTTGGCGGGGAAGGCGAAATTGTCCTATAAAAAGCTTGGCGTCCTCAGCAGAGCGAGACAGCATTTCATACCAGCACATCGCTTTTAACTAAAGTTAAACATTGCTGTAAGCTCAAAGCGCAAGTTCGGCCTCATATGGAATACTGTTCTCATCTCTGAGCTGGGGTACCCTAGTACCAGCTTCTTCCACTTGAACGCATCCAGCGCAGAGCGATTCGAATCGTCGACGAACGAGCTTTTTTTGGATCGGCTCGATTCACTGGCGCTGCTTAAGGATGTTGCATTCCTTTGCGTTTTCTATCGTATCTACCATGGGGAGTGTTCTGAGGGATTATTTGGATTAGTTCCAGCCGCCAAATTTCACGATACCTTCTTCACCATCCGGATGCATGGCGGTTCACTACTGTGCATTTTACTAGAAGTTTTC